AACCCCCTGCCCTGCATACAATTTCCCCACCCACATGTGGCCCTCGGCCCAAAAAGTTTGCCCACCCCTGGCCTAGATGTTCCTACTTTCTTTTCCTTACACTTTATAGATCAGCCTTGTACACATCATAAAAACTGAGCATCCGAGGCACAAATTCTACTAACCCCATCCTTTGCAAAGATGGATTAAAACAAAAACAAACACTGAACCTAATGTTACTCTGTCTGCCAAAAAAATATTGCCCTCAGAGTGAGTACAGAAATAGAATTTTGCAAGTCTATTACATACACACACACACACGCACACACACACACGTTACCTCTGTCATTTTGCTCTTCTGGCAATTTCATGCTTGCTTTTTAACCACATGCATGCATGTGGAATTACTGATAGTTGCTGATGACAGGTGTGTCATTTATGGACTTGGCCTTTTGTATGGCACACCATTTTGTTTAATTAAGAGCACTGCAGTATTTACACCAGAGTCCTGGCAACACAGCTAAATTTGCAAGTGGGCAAGAGTTACCTTCCAAGCCAACTAAAGACTGGGTTGATGCCTAACAAGCATAGCCACCATCACATGCTGATACAACTTGAGTCCAACAAGAATATTTTATCTTTCTGTGCAAGGTATGAAGCTACTCAGCTAGGGTTACCATATTTCAACAATCAAAAAAGAGGACGTGAGGAGCCCTGCCCTAGCCCCGCCCCTGTCCTGCCCTAGCCCCGCCCCTGCCCCTTCCACTCCCTCCCACTTCCCGCCCCCCTCAGAACCCCCAACCCTCCCTCCCACTCCTTGACTGCCCCCTCCTGGGACCCCTGCCCCTAACTGCCCCCCAGGACTCCACCCCCTACCTAAGCCTCCCTGCTCCTTGTCCTCTGACTGCCCCCTTCTGAGACCTTCCCCTCATCCTAACTGGCCCCCTAGGACCCTATCCCCTACCTGTCCCCTGACTGCCCCCTCCTGAGACCCTCCCCCCATCCTAACTGGCCCCCTAGGACCCTACCCCCTACCTGTCCCCGACTGCCCCAACCCTTATCCACACCCCCACCCCCAGACAGACACCAGGGACTCCCACGCCTCATCCAACCACTCCCCACCCTCTGACAGCCCGCCCCCCCCCGAACTCCAGACCCATCTAAACCCCTCTGCTCCCTGTCCCCTGACTGCCCCCTCCTGGGACCCCTGCTCCTAACTGCCCTCCAGAACCCCACCCCCTACCTAAGCCTCCCTGTTCCTTGTCCCCTAACTGCCCCCTCCTGAGACCCCCCCACCCTAACTGCCCCCCTAGGATCCTACCCCCTACCTGTACCCTGACTGCCCAAAACCTTACACCCCCAACCCCCAGACAGCCCCCCCGAACTCCCAACCCATCCAACCCTGCTCCCTGTCTCTTGACTGCCCCCTCCAGAACCTCCCTGCCCCTTCTCCGACCCCCTGGCCCCCTTACCATGCCGCTCAAAACAGAGTGCTGCAGAGCAGCGCGCTCGGCAGCAGGGGAGGGAGGAGCAGGGGGAGGAGTGCCAGACTGCCGGAGGCCCAAGGCAAACGGCCCCGGCGATCTGCGAATGCAGGGAGGGGGAGGGAGGGAGAGAGAGAGAGGAGGGGAGTGGTCTCAAGTTGCAGGGGAGAGGAGGGGGAAGTGGAGGAGGGGCTCTGGCTGTCAGAGCCCCGTGCGAGTGGCACGATCCGGCCGGCTGCCCTGTCAGGCTGCCGGCTGCATGGGGGGGAAAATCCGGACATTTACAAATTCCCCCCGGACGCTATTTTTAACTCAAAAAAGCCGGACATATCCGGCAGAATCCGGACGAATGGTAACCCTAACTCAGCACAACAGCAGGCTGTGTTTAGTCCTCAATACTGGCAGTAGTATTAGACTGCTTGGGATAGCAGAAGAGTTATGTATTACCAGCACCAATACATTGTTAGGAGTTAGGTGCAAGGCCAATGATAGTAAAAGGAATACTGTTTCTCCAGCTTACAAATACTGCCAGGGCTTTCTGACTTCCGGTTATGTCATTTAACTTCACATAGTAAAGCTGCAGCCCTTTCAGCCATTTGTTTCAAACATTAGTCTGTGTGTCTTCATTAGTGAGTGCTCTTGCAATACATTTAGAGTCTATTATTCAGAAGTCTTGTTGTAATACTATTAGACTGCACTATATAAAAACATTCAGGGGAAATCTTCTCTAGACACTATGATGCAGCATTTAATGGTGTTAAGTGTGCTTAATTTGTTCAAAGAGGGTTCTATATGGCTTGTATTGTAATCATGGATAGTAAATACTGCTTTAGCTGGAAAGTTGAGTTTTTAAATTATGGTTTTTAGTACAGTGGTTAACACTCACCACTCAAAATCAAGTTTGATATAACTGATGGGGATGGGACCTGCAGAGGATAATGGCTTTATAGAGGAGCTGCATGATTCACCCCCCGGTGGGCATTAAAGGTCTAACTGTTAGCAGAACCAATGCACTTCTGCTCCATGTGGGAAGACAAGGCGAAAGGGATATGAAGAGATTGGCTGCAGGAAGCATCTTCTCAAACATGCAAGAGAGTTTGACACAGACATAGACCTTGCATAGAAGCATAGGAGCTGTTGGAGCTCTGTTGCCTATGGAAAAATGATTCTACTGTTACCCTATCCTCACAGATTTTTCTAGCGCGCAGCCTGGTTACTCTGGGATTTGGCCCTTAAATCAGGAATTAACAAGTGGAAACAGACCTTAGCTATTTTCTCTTTTCTCTCCAACACCATGTCTGCACTTTAGGAAGGTTCTTGTCCCAAAAGCTACGGCCAGTTCTGGTCATATTACTCAAATACTTTTCTTCTCCTGCACAATCCCCTAAGGCTATGTCCACACAGCAAAGAAAAACCCGTGACTGGCCCATGCCAGCTGACTCGGGCTCACAGGGCTCAGGCTGCAGGGCTGTTCCATTGCTGTGTAGACCTCTGAGTTCCCAAGCTCTGGGACCCTCTCACCTTGCAGGTACTGTCCCAGACTCCTCTGCCAAAGAAACAGAACGGAGTTATTTGTGCTATGCTCAGTGCATAGTTGTCATCATTTCAAATAAAGTCAAAACAAGTTAATATAAACTTGTGGTTGTGGCTGCTAGGCCCTCATTCATCCAAAGGTTAGGTGCACATGCTGATGCATTTTAAGTTATTCTTTCTCTGATTTAAGTATAAATGCAGAGTAAACTGCAATTTAACAAACTACTCAAAACCCCATCCCTTTCCCACAACAGTACAAAGATGTAGGCTGTCTCCAGCTAACTACAATAAAAGCAGCGAACACCCCCACTGCCCTATGGTGTGTAGATGTCTCTCGTAGCTTATTTCTTTCTCCCATTTATTTACTTTTGTCACCTAGTCTCTAGCCCATTCTATCTATTTACATGCCATTCTCTTCTCTCACTTGTATATTGTTGTCATCTTTTCTCTTCCATTGAAAAGCAGCAGGAGATTAAACTGGGAGGTTTAAAATATTATCCAAGAGACGAATCAGTCATTTTCTATTTACTTGTTATTTTGACTTTTTTGAAAACTTTAGGGGGCAACGTTAAGGTTGGTGGTGGGAAAAGCCAGGTGGTGCAAGCGAATGATTAATGATTATGTAACTGTGGGGAATCAGATGGAAGCCTAAACTGTTTGCCTCCAGACATACCCATTAGAACTGCATGGGGCCTAAAATTTCCTTCTTCTGGGAAATTTTGCATTTCCAAAAAATGTTTCTTTCTGAATCAGAAAAAGTTGGATATGCAATATTTTCTTGGGAGGGACATTTAAAAAAAAAAAAAAAATTCAGAAGAACCAACATGGAATTTTTCAACATTTTCTGGTCCCAGCTCTTCTGTTGGAAAAATTTCAACCAGCTCTATTACTAATGTTAGAGATTTTTAAAGAGATGTAGAACATTATGTAAATAATGTGAGGCTTTTAACTGGACTCCATTAACACACTTTCAATTTTAACTATTTTTTCATAAGCCTTTTGTTCGCAAATACGGTTTTCAGTGAGATCTTGTTTTTCACCGAATTTTTCAAATTGGTTTGAGTGGGGAAGAAGGAACATAGTTACGTGACTTGCCCCAGGATGCTCAGACAGTCTGATGGCCCAGATTACAATTTAAGGCCTTTCTAGCCAGCTCCCAGTCCTTTGTTCTAACCACCTGACCAAGAGCTTTTGTTTAGATCAAGGATTTAATACTCCCACATTGTGTGTGTGATTGGTTTCAAAAGAATGTTGAAAACAAAATCCAAACAGCTACAACAGCTGTATCATATTAAAATTTTCTACTGTGTTTTAATGAAACTTCTCCCTTATGGAAGAAAGCTACCAGCTAGTCTTCATACCATATATATGGAAAAAATGATTCTTAAAACAAAAATATTTCTTGTTCAGTATTTAATTCTTGTTGTAACTTACACATTTTGTATTACACACATCCGAAAAATTCAATGCATAGAAGCATATCAAACCTTTTTGATTTTTCCCTAGACTCCCAAACAGCATGGTCATTTAAAAAAAAAAAAATCTGTGCACTGGAGAAGCATTTCTGTTAAACAAACACACACACACACACACACACACACACACACACACACACACAAAAAGCATACCAAGCATCCTAGTTTCTTTGCCAAATTCTCATCTCCATACATTCCTGCTGGTTCAGAATTCAAGGAAGAACCAAAAGCAAGGGTGTGGTTGTACATACATAAGTGTTTGTCTCCACACTAGGCTTTGGATTCAATGATGCAAGGCTTTCCCCCTTTCAAGTGCAGTCTCCTTTTGGGCTGAAACAAAAATCTTGGCTAAGGACCTGAGTTTTCTCCCTGTTTCATAGAGCTGCCAACATACTGATGATGCTCAGTAAATAACTGAGTTTAGATTAAATTCTTAGGAACTGAAAGTTTATTTTACTTGTATGTGAAACACTATGCACACCTATGGCTCTAAATAAATTTTGTATTAAGCATAAACTAAAACTATTACCTTTGGGTTTCTTTTTGCTTTTCCAGTTCTACCGTCTTTCTCTCTTGCTCCTTCTGTTTCAACCTCTCAACTTCTAAGTTCTTTTGCTTCTGAAGCTGCTGCTTGTTATGTATCTCTCTCAGCTCCTACAGCAATCAATAAATATATTGCATGTAATAATGTACTACATATCACTATCACAACAAATGGCTCCACATTTCTCATTGTTAAGGACCCAGAACCTTCTTAAATATTACCCAAATTTTTGAAAATCAAGTAACTGGCAACAGGTCATACATTTTTACATGTTGCCATGATTTAGCCCTCAAAGTGATAATGCTGACATTTTATTGTCTACACCATAGATTCTTTAGTCTCCATTCCTTGCTATAGTAATTGTATTTTTCATTAAGTTACAGAACCTTGTCTCAATACAGTTATATAAGTGAGGTTGTATAAACATGAAATTTTGTCTCTGATATGTAGGGCCACAAATGTGTAAAATGCCATATTAGAATGGTCATTATTGAATATATATAGAGAACTGTTATTTACTTCATTCATAATCAACATACTGATTTAAAAAGTGAATCAGGCAGCAAGAACACTTCTTCACAAAAAGCTGGAAGTCTCTGCTCAGGCTTTTAATATTTACAGTTTATCTGGCAGTTATCTAAAGTACGGCTCACAGAGCTTTCCAAACATTTATTCTCTCTCCACTTTTAGTCATATTCCCAAAGGTGATAAAGAGTTCAAAGAGACTGACTTGTTTCTTAAATACTGCTGTAAATGGCTAAAGAATTTTCTTCATAAATAAATAATCTTTATCTTGATGGTGGCCTTATTTTTATTAATAAGTTATTAGCAGCTTTGTTATATAAATTTGTCAGATTTCTTACCTACTCATGACAATTTTTTAAAAATTAACTTCTGAATTGTTCTTACAAATATTGGCAACTATTTTCCACTGTATATGTTTCAGTTTGAAATTGATAGGTATATCATTGCCATATGAACTGCTGAAGCATTTTCAAGATTATTTTCTCTCCAAGAAATGGAATATTTTCAGCAGCGTCTTCAGAGCTGAATTCAGGCACTGAAACAGATAGGCTTGGCAGAATTAGATTTTTATTTTTGTTTTAAAATCATTTTGACTGATAACACTGACATTTATTTTTAAGTTTTTTTTTAATTTTTATCAATTTAAATTTTCCCACTTGAGGGAAATTATGGGGAGGTCAAACAATTTTTAATGACAGTAGACACAGATTCAAAAAGTTAAAGCTTTATAACTGTTAAAACACAAATTGTATATTTTGACATGTGACGCTGATAAAAGTAAATTCCCTTACTTTAAACTCAAATTCCCAAGCAGCATTTTTCTTTCTTTACCCATCTGTAAATTGTGATCATCAATGGAAATATTTATTTCAGTGGTTAGTGTGCGTACGGTGAAATCAACATTTACCAATAAGATCTAATCCTTTCAAGCCTAGAAAGAGGAATATTAATTTGCACAAATTTGATGATTTGGGTGAAAAGAACTGCTTGAATTGTTTGGGTAGCGATGAATGAATGCAGCGTGTTTAAAATAATAAAATGTCAGCACTAACATGAACAGAAATTATATTATGACCATCTTTGTACAACACCACCTAACTTTGGGGTCTGATTGTCTTGTCAGTGTTTCTTTAACTAGCTAGCTGTACGAACTGGGAATGTCTTTATCCAAAACATTTGAGAATTGTCTCTACCCTTGAAAATTAGTCGCACATCTTTAAATAACCACTTCCAGTTTATGAAGAAAAATCTACTGTAGTCTTCACGTATATAAAAATAAGCATAAACTATTCAGTTTCTATGGCAGGGAACTCTGAACTTTATATATATACACACTAATATTTTCCATGTCTTAGTGAAACATATTGAAACTTGCACCAGACCAGACAGGTTTATATTTCTTATACACTTACAGGTTTATCCTTTATCACTTAGGACTGAAACATGTGCTCTCCCAGGTATTATTCATATACTGGGCCACTTAATCTTTGCTTTTGTCAGAATTTAACAAAGTTTTTTCCAAATAAAGCTTTCATGTAAGGTGTTTAATTTTCTCACATTTGGACCTTGCATTTTAACAGAACTGGAAAGTGTATAAAAGCAGCAAAAATGAGAGCTGAACGCTGACAAGTCAGAAGCGATTCGGCAAGCAGCAATGGAAAAGAAAATGAGCAGGTTACTTTGCAATATCATTAGTGACTTCTCACCTACAGTTTAAAAACACTTAAATAAATGGGATAGTCGTTCATTAATTTTCCACTCCCTTTTAAAGTCTGCAAAGAATGGTTTTTGACTGAAAACACCTGTATGTCACTGAAACAAGTATATACATTAATCCTTAACTGCAATCACACAGCAGAGCAGGCTGGGCTAGATTTTAAAAGAGGTATCCAAATAACTTAGATTGTGATAAACAGTAGCAAGTGTCATTTGCAAGATGCAACAATTCTGTTCTTTGATCTTAAGTAGTTAAAAAACAGGACTAAGTCACTAGGCCAAGAAGCGGAACTAAAATCCTTGGAGCATTAAGGTCAAACTTTAAAAACACACAAGAACAAAAAAAATAATTAAAGAAGATAAAGCCCAACTATTTGCACTAAGGCTAATTTATTTTAACAGGACATTTAAAACAGAATGAGAGCTATTTAGCCATCCACAGACTTCAGAAAGAGTTCTACTCTAATTTAGAGAGAGTTTCTATTCAGTTATTTATTTTTAAAAGTTCACCAAGTTATGAAATCCATAAAGGAGTACAGACCTGATCTTGCAGGAACTGTTTGCACTGAACTCCCATTCACTTCAGTTGGAGCTCTGATTGCACCAAAATTGCAAGATTGCAAACTGTAGAACCTCAGAGTTACAAACACCTGGGAAATGGAGGTTGTTTGTAACTCTGAAATGTTCATAACTCTGAACAAAACATGGCTGTTCTTTCAAAAGTTTACCACTGAACATTGACTTTAAACAGCTTTGAAACTCTACTATGCAGAAGAAAAATGCTGCTTTTAACCATCTTAATTTAATTAACACAAGTACAGAAACAATTCCCTTACCATGTCAAATCTTTTTAAAAAAAAAGTCCCCTATATTTTTTTCGTGGTTTACATTTAACACATTACTGTACTGTATTTTTGTCGTCGCTGCTGCTGCCTGCTTGTGTACTTCCGGTTCCAAATGAGATGTGTGGTCGACTGGTCAGTTCATAACTCTGATGTTCATAATTCTGAGGTTCTACTGTACAGTTTTTTTTTTTAAACACACATATGTAGGCTTACTTTACAACTAAGCTTATTTTATAACTAAGCACGTTTTATAACAAGAGTTGAAAACCATTGCCACCTTCATCCGCTAAGACCAGAGTTGGGTGCTTTCACTAGAAGAGTGATGTTTCCATTCCAGTTTGAAGAATCTGAGTAGGTGTCAGCAAGGTCAGTAACTGCTACGGGAAAAATAGAGCCCCTAGTGCAGGGGTCGGCCCGTGCCGTTTCCCGCAGCCCCCATTAGCCTGGGACGGCGAACCGCGGCCAGTGGGAGCCGCAATCGGCCGAACCTGCCGACACGGCAGGTAAACAAACCGGCACGGCCCGCCAGGGTGCTTATCCTGGCGAGCCGCATGCCAGAGGTTGCCGACCCCTGCCCTAGTGTTTGATATCTGGTCCAAACAGGTAAATAATTTCCGTTCACTCTTCTAAATAAAAAAATAATTTTTATCTTATTTATAGCTATATATTTAGTTATGTAGAATCTCCAGTTTTTAAAAATGTAAAAAATGTTTAAAGGCATTTAAGTTCACCATTTTCTTTTCCTCAACAAACTGGCATACTAGTTCTATATTTTGCTGAGCAAAAGATTTTGAATATGAGGTACGTAAGCAACCCTAACAAGCAACATACCCAATAAAATTGGGTATCCAATAGCAAATGGTAATTTCCAACTGTTATCTGAAAGTAAAACTGTAATTAAGAAAAGGACTTATTTGTAATAAATAGCTCTCTTGCATCAGCTATAATAAAATGGGAATTAAATTATCAAGATTTACATTTTATTTACTGTACTGTCTTGCTTGGCATGACATTTAAAAATAAAAAAAATCAGCATCCCCACAGTACTATATAAGATACCAACTAAACAAACTACCACTACATTTCAACAGGACAGCTGAATGAAACTCTGCTAAATATTCAGTTAAAAAAACACACAGTCCAGTACCTGCTCTTTATAAAAAGATAGGTAACTGCAAGTCGTAAGTTAGAACGCTATACATTTGTTGAGATATTCATAACTTTAGGAGTTCATATTTTATCCACCATTTGTGGTGTTTGCAAGATTACCAATGTGTTATCCAAAAGGTGCAAGTAGACACTGTTTAAAAATAAGCAACTAAACCACAGATATACATAAATATTTTGAAAAGTTAGAGAGCACTGTCAAAGTTGCAAATCTAAACAGTCAAGAAGTGTAATAGCAAAGATTCTGATGATACTATTAAGACACCCACACAGTATTTTTGAAAACTAGGAAGGTTATTAAGTGTATGTAGGACAGTAAGTACATAATGTGGGCAAGTAAAGTTGCTATGAAAACCTTAAACTATTGCATTTATTGTCTTAGGACCAAATCTTGCCTTCCCACAGAGAGGCAAGAGGATGCCCAGGAAACTTCCAAGGATTATCCTGTGGAGCTTCCACCAAATCTTGCCCTTGAGGGGAAAGGATCGGGGGCATGTGGAGCAGGCAGGGGTGGAGCATCCCAGCCCTCTAGATCCAAGCGGAAGGCAACCTCTAGTCTGGTGGTGGGCAACGTGCAGCCCGCAGGCCACATGTGGCCCGCCAGTAGTCCGCGAGACAGTTTGTTTACGTTGACCGTCTGGAGGCACAGCCGCCTGCAGCTCCCAGTGGCCGCAGTTCACCGTTCCTGGCCAATGGGAGCTGCAGGAAGCAGCACGGGCCGCAGGTTGCCCACCACTCCTCTAGTCTCACTACTCACTGAGGGGCTCTCCCACCCCACCCCACGAAGCATCATCACTCCTGAAGCAGCTGTGCTATCCTCGACAGCAACACTCCCACTCCCTTATGCCCCATATCAG